TAATTAAGAAATCTATTTTTTTCTACATAATATCTTGAGTAGCATCTTTCTCTGCATGGGTTTATTTGATGTATTGAGTTCCAATGTCAAGCTAACCCTTAAAGTCCAGCATATTAGTATTACCAAGAAATGCCTTTTTTTTCCCTTCAATATTTCTTTAACAAGAAAAAAATCTCTTTATTGTAGTGGTTCTCTTTAACATATCTGAATTTTAATTACCCCATGTACCCTATTTGACAAGCAGGGCACTCTGTGCCATTTCTCCAGGCATCAGAGAGCGAGTCCATACACTAAATGCACAGTTTGTAGTCTGAAGAGTTGTCTTCATTAGCAAATTCACCCAAGTTGCGACATAAATGCAGCTCCTAAAAACCCTTTCAATCTTGTGTTTTCAATGGATTTCTTCAAGGCAGGTAGCATAGCCAGAAGCCTCTGACAAACACTCCTTAGACCCAAGTCATTTTGCATTGCTTCATTTAAAATCATACATACCATTAGAATAGTGCTTGACTTGTAGCAGAGAAGTCATTGAAGCACCACGGTACTACTGCTGGGAGTAGCATGAGTTTTGCTTGTCCAGAAGCCTCTCAGAAACACAAAAATGTATTTTTATGCTACCTAAAAAAGTTTGCAGTACTTCGTAGAAGTTCTGTTTTATAAATAAAGTACATTGCTTACTAACTGTGTACAAAAAGAGTATATTATGAAAAAAAAGTATGTCTAGCATGTAGGGAATTCTCCCAGAAAACATTAACATACTTTAAGTGGAAATTACCACAAAAGAGTTTGCAGGTTAAGTTGTGAACGGTTTTGCATTGTTAGGAAGAGGAATGATCTCACTGATGCACAAGTGATGCCTAATAGACGAGAAACTATTGGAAAGATGCTTGAAAGAACTTCCCTAGCGATACTTTTAATCAGAGGCTTAAAGTCCACGTTCTTCTCTTGACTTCAGGGGCCTTGAGGTCTGAATTTTTTGGAACACAGCAAAATAAAGATGATTGTCCTTGTTTGCCTGAATCTTTGGGGCTTGATTAAAGCCCTTGCTCCCACTGGAGCAGTGTGAACAGTGATGTTGATTTCAGTAGGAGTAAGACTGCACAACTATTTAACCAGTTAAGAGCAGATGTATGCCAGCTATAGCATGATGATATAATTAACTGATTGTGAAATAAATTGAAAATACTCATTAACTGAGAATTTACTAATCTGCTGCTCATTATCAATGCATATTTTAATCTGCATTAAATAAACTATCACCATTATAAGCTCTGCAAAGAAAATAATAAGACTATTATTAATTGTGGGCAGGTTGTCTGGAGTGGGTCAGGCATCTAATAGACTTCTTTAAACACAAAAGTAAATAAACAGAATGAACTTTCATAGCAGAATGTTCTAATATAGTCCTGTTTTACTAGAAAATGCACTGTTAATTCAAATATACTCCATATTCTTACTGGTGAAAAAGCTACAGCCCTTTGTTGCCCATCCTCTATTTTTTGGGGGGGGGCACATCCATTAACCATTTTACATTCAGTTTATATTGTGTCTTGGTTATTACTGCAGGTTGGAAACATGGAAATTCGCATGCAGTAACATCTGCAATCTATTCATCTTCTGACAGTGGCCAGTATAAGATCATTCATAAAAAGGTTAAAAAAAAAAAAAAAAGAACTTGTGATAGATAGTTCTGAAATAAACTGCATGCAGGATAGTATTTCCCAGAACAGAGTGGAATTTAGCCTGAGGTTTAATGAGTTCATAGGGTCATAGCATACCAGTTAATTTTTAAAATTACTTGCTATATATGAAGCTTTTTTCTTTGTGTATTTCTTTTGGATATGCTAGTTTCATTTTTAGTTAGATCTAGATACAGGTGCACAGAAGCTCATAAGACAAAATTTCTTTGAAATGTGAGCTGGGCATATTCAAAATTCACTATTAGCACTAGAGACATCCCCTCTATCTGTCTGGATATCTTATTATACAAGGAAGCTGGACCAGGGGAAGGTCTCTAAGTCTCAGTGGGTTTCTCAGCATTAGGCACTCTGATAGAATGGATGCTTGCAGGTAGCTAGAAGCAAATATTTATTAATAGTGTGCTTTGCATAGCTGGCTGTGCTGATTATAGAGTCACTCACAAATCATTTAAATAACAAGGCTTTATGTATGTCTGTTACAAATCTATTGATGACATTACACTGTTGTGCTCAGCAGCATGGTGCTGTGGACACTCAGACTTTGAAAAAACATCACCAGCAGTCATTTCATCAATTAATGTATGTTCCTGTAAAGGGTCTTCTGGATAAAACCTTACACAGGAGACAAGACCATGACTTGTACAAGTTCTCACATAGTGAAGGATTCAGGGTAGCAGAAAGTTTTCTAGGGACTTGGTACATGATTATTTAAGTCCTTCTTCCCCAAAGGTACCTATGTCTTATTGACATTGTATACACATAGCTGGAGAAGATAAATTGTACATGTATATATTTTTTTAAGCGGGAATTACTGTTTTGAAGAAAGCAATTACTTTGGTACCTCTGAGAGAGCTTACTCCATAAAAATCTAATCTCGATAAATAGCTCACTTTGTAAGTAAGTGAAGTACTCAACTTTTAGGTGCTATCCATAACTCCCTACTTACTGCTGTGTTTTTGCCACAATCATAGTCACAATCAAGTCCTCCTCTATAAGCCTGCTTGGTAGCACTTGTATTGATGTCCTGTTTGTGCCTTGAAGGATTCAGTTTTTCACTCCTGTCTCACTGAAGGCGATTTCATCTAATTGCACATTCCAAGAACAAGAAAACAGGAATTAAGAGACTCTCTTGTATTGGGAGAGGATGTTTTGACTTTATTGTTTAGAGTATATAAGGGGTAGGTATTTGGAAACCAGGATGGAGATTAGATTTTGTTACCTTTTCTCCTTGGGTTTGGGCTGATGCTACACTGCTGCTGTGCTCTTTTGCTCTAGTTCAGTGAATCTTTAGCTGCTTCTCTGCATGGCTAATCAGGAATATAGAGCATATTCCCTACACAGACAGCAGCCACTGCCTTGCAAGAACCCATCAGCCTCAGAATCCCAAATCCTCTACTTCCTGAGGAAATACTACTTACACTTCCTTTTCTGCCTTGGGCTACACTTTAAAATACATTTTAAAAACAAGGCACTTACAACTATTTTGGTGAATGGCCCAGCTGGGTGTTTCAAGGCATGCTCAGAACATACCTCGTGACTGACTTCACATTCTGCCAGCGTTAACCTTGCCCAAGCTTGCTCAAAAATATGCCTGTCTTATGTGGGTTTTACCTGGAATTAACTGTTTCCCCTCTCCTATGCCACAACCTTCTGTGGAAGACAAGACTACATAATAGCAAGGCTTAACCTAAGCTGTGGTTGGCAGGGGGAGGTAGTTGCCTGACTGCAATATTTACACAGTGCCATACCAAGAGAAGAGGATACTTAATGACTAAAGATATTTTTCTTGCTTATTGTTTCTCTGTGCAGAGAGGATCATAAAGGAGGAAGCAAGACCCAGGCCAGCTAAGAGAGAAGGGAGGCATTCTGCCAGCTGGCCACCAGGTGGTACCAGGGCTGCATTTGGAGAGTTTAGTTCTGCTTTTAGTGCTACAATAAACTACTCCTGCAAGCAGCTCCTGAGGAGTTTCCAGTACCTGCCTTGTTGTTTTCACTAGATTTAGCAGAAAGCTTTATAGTAGATAACTAGATGGACAGGAGGATAGGAACTGGACAGACAGCACAACTACATCAAAATGAAAAAGATATGAAGCTTAAAACAGGCATTTTATCCCCGAGATAAGAGCTGGGACACTTAAAATAAGGATCATCTATAAATACTAAGTGAGATATGCAGAGCCTTCAAAACAAAGAGTAGTTAGTGCCAGAGTTCCCACTTCAAGCAGAGAAGTTTAAAAAAAAAAAAAAAAGGCTGACATTTTATAAAGCTTTTGCCTGGCTCAAGTTGTTACATGGCTGAAAATATTCTTAGTATTTGTACAATTTGGGGGCTTATTTCTCAGCAATCTGCAAATCAAAGATTTTGCTGAATGAGCCTCAGTTACACCTTTTCCATCTAATCTTACTTATAACCAAAGCAACCAGGCAACTGTTTGCTATGTATATGTTCTCATATACATTGTCTTACCCCCTACCAGTCCCATCAAAAAAATTATATATTTCATATAGGCAACAAGAAGGTTTTATACTTAGTCACAGATACAGACATACACACTAATGGGTTCTGTGAGCAGTCTCAAAAACAAACTGCTATAGATCTGGATGTCTCACTAACATGAAAAGTGTTTTTTTGTTGTTGGTTTTTTTTTTTTTTTTTTTATTAATAAAACTGAGTAGATGCTTTTATTTTGTATCACCAAGAAAACTGACCATGCTCATACCTGGAAGGCAGACTGTGTAAAACATCCAATATTTAAGATGTAGTAGGCAAACATAAAAGCAGATTGAGCCATGCTGGGATAAACGCTCAGGAAGAAAAAAAAAAGTTATTACAAAGTTACTTGTCTGCTACTCACAAATTTCAGAGACAGCTATATAAAACTCCCTTGTACTCTTAAGAGTTTTTTAGTAGAGTTCTCATTTGCTCAATAGCATTTCATACTGAAAAATGTAGCTTAAAGGTAGTTTTGGAGGGTTTTTGTTTTTTTAATCAAATTTGGAAGCGATACCTTTGCAGTTTGCATTAATTCCCTAAATGATTACTCTAAATTATTACTCCTCTAGCATCTTGAGTGGGAAACCACCCTGTTCTAAACTGGCATTAACTAAAATGACAGAAATCGCTGCTCTGAAGGCATTTTAAAAGACCAAAAATACTTCTACAGCTCTCACCTCTACTCTGTAATAAACGGCCATTGCAAAGAAAATCTATTCCAAAATCTTTTCTGCATTTAAACTTGCTTAGGTAAAGCTGCTAAAAGTTTTGCCTTTTCGCCAAGTTTTAAGAGCAGATTAATATTAAGGAGTTCTGCAAAAACTTCTTGTTCTTCATGAAAAAAAATTTCCCCCATGAACAGTTTACCTACTGCAACTAAACAGAGAAACAAAAATATGTACAGCAGTGGTAGGCCTGAACTCCTAAATAAACCAGGGATGTCTGACTCAAAAGGATAATTTGCTCTGAAGAAACATTGTAACAATAACATCTTCACATCCTCACCAGTGCTTCAAATTAAAATACCTAAACACTGTAGAACAGAGCTCCATTTTTTGCCATATTTGTTTAGAATTATAATTTATTTGTATACAGTCATGTACTCTGCCTCTACATACAGTAGGTTTCATGCTGCATGTGCTCTGCAGACACAACAGTCCTGTATTATGGGACTACATGAACTGATGAAAATGTGAATGAAGAATACCACTGCCAAGCAAATGGTTTCTGAAAGAAAAAATATATAGTAGTCACAGTAGATAACTGCAACAAGTACTTGGATGGAGTTGGTAGTAGTTGCATTAGTATCTAGCAGATGGATGGCTCTTCTACTGCTTGTGCACCTTCAACAACAGCTTTCACACACTTGGCCATTGTCTGGGATGCTCTACTGATTGAATCTGTAAAGAAAACAAAATAAAAACCAAACACTTGTCAGCATGTTAACTGTTTGCTTTTGATATATAAACCAAATACAGTATGCAGGAGATTTAAAATGGGACTTTTTTAAAATACAGTCCAGCAGTCTATGCCACATGCCAATTCCAAATCATTTCTTGGGAAATTTTATGAGTCAGCTCTTACACATTTTGGTGGAAAGCTTTAAGTGTCTAGAATTATACTCTAAAGCCATCTGAAATGCATGGCTGGTTTTACTACGTACCTGTCATATAAAAGTCTTTAATTGTGAGCTGGGGTGGAACAAGAGGATCAGCAAGAATCTGTTGCTTCACTAACTGTGGCAAGAGAAGGAATAAAGTTAAGAAGTCAGCTTTGTGCTAAGATCTTGTTGCCAAAGCATTTCTGTAGTGAAATGTGCATTCACTGCAATCCAAGGTACACTTACAGTACTATATATGCAGCAAGTCCATTCCTTACAAAAAGCATCAAGCTATGCAGTAGTGCTAAACGATAACTATGTACTTTACTTACCTTAGCCAGTTCATTTGCTTGGCTGAAGTAGTTGGCCTCCTCCACATCATCGTATCGGACCAGATTAGGAGATACTTCTTCTAAACGCTTCCGTATTTGATCAAGGTTTTCATAAGGCAAGGTCACACCAGCCAGCTAAAATAATTTCACAAAAAGGAAATGCCATCAAGTCTAGAAATGTAATACACAGCATAATAAATTACCTGTCAATCCATAACAACTAAATTAAAACTAGAAAGCTACACTCGTTAAGCAGTTACAAGGGTACAAGCTAAAGCAAAGTTCTAGCACTCCTCTGAGTTTGATGGCTACAGTTAAGGCTTCCTCGTGTTAGAGTTGCACTGCCCTATTCACAGAGATTGGGGGAGAGAAGTATTTTTCTCCTTACATATAGGCAATCTCACTTGTTCTTTCACTAGCTCATCAAACATTATGATAAGCTTGACACAACCAGCAATACATCTTGTTCCTAGTGACTGGTAGGCACGTTTTTGACCTCTGATAATATGAGATACTATTCTCAGAGTTCAGTTTTCTTTCCAAAAAGAAAGTATACTCTCTCAGCATTTGGGAGAATATCAAGTACTCTACAAAGACAGGCAAAATTTGCAGAGAACACTCCACTCTGTGCATTCTAGTAGCATACGGCAGCTACATCAGTGGTACTTTCAAAAAGAAAACAATACCATTTACTCCACAGAATTAAGAAAGGACTCAGTACAAAACATCACTCCCTAACAACTTAGGCATGCATTTCCCTGAAAATGCACCTCTTATCGGAAAGATTTTTCAACATAAAAGGAACTCAACCACTCAGAATGCATTTGCTGGAGACAATTGAGAACCGCACCTCCGAGATGGCTCTAATAATCCTCCAGTCTTCCCTTGCCATCCCAGGAGGTGTTACAGCTGCTCTGGTCTGCTGGGCCCTCCCCTCAGTGTTCACATATGTGGCTGTCTTCTCCGTATATGCTGCGCCTGGGAGAATAACATCAGCCATGGGAGCTCCCACGTCCCCATGATGTCCTAATGGAAGGAAGGAGGAAAACATTCACAACCTTGTAAGCCATCAGTACATCAAGCTATGAGTATGCCTACTAGCAATACAGAACTACAAGTTTCTAAGCTTTAGGCAGACTGCTCTGAAGTCCTTCTTGCTGGTTATTCTGTGGCAAACTGGCTAGAAGCAGCAGTAGTTCTACCTCTATAGACATTCGCCTGAGAGCATTTGCGGGGGGACTCTTGAAACAATACTTGATGAATTAAGCCATATTTTGGCATGATAGAATAGCTGAGAAACAATGCAGTTCTGTTTGCCAGATCTGAGGCTCTGCTGCAGCAATCTCAACTGATTTACATTCCCTTACTATTAACAATTTGCATTTTCACCTAGGAAACGGTTCATTAGTATCCCAGTTATATTTCAGAATTTTTTTTTCTTGGCAGAACATAAAGACTTGAATTTATCAAAGGTCATATATATTTGTTAGAATATAGGCTTGCTCTCCAGCTTTTAATAGTTTCCTTAAATTACATCCACTAATTACCTTGATAGATGATAAAACAATCCTTTGGCAAATCTTGACGCGTTATACAACCAGAATCTGCTCCCAAGAGAAACAAGACTTTGGGTGGATTTTTCCTGATTGCTTCCACTCCTGGTTTGAAACCCAGATCCAAAGCAGCGACCTGGCTTGCAACCCTGTAGGAGCAAACATATTAACTGCAGTTTGTTTCAGAATTCTTTCCCATTAGAACAGGCCTAACTTCTTTTTTGACTAGATGCACAGGAGCTCCAATGGTTAGGTAGGAAAAATAGTGAAGCATAAGGACAGTTGGGAACTTTGGCAGAGCATTTCATAAAATGTGTTTTACATCTGACAGACTGATGCCATTTGAAGGCTTCATTGGGACTCTCCTCCAGCTCTTAATGAGAGCAACAAAATGTAGATTTGTTAATTCTACATTGAAAGTTATCCCTAACACAGCACCTAAGAGGTCTGTCATGTCAAGAAATCCATTAAAAAAGTTTCCTGTTTCTTTACGTTTTGTTCTCTATAAATTCTAATTTGATAAATCTCTTGCAATGCGTACAAACCCATACAAGTACTTTATGGTAACATGTAGGCCCAGCATAAGTGAATGCGGGAGTAGGGGGGAGCGGCAGGGAAAGGGCTCTCTAAAGAGCTTTACAACCTACCTGTGAAGGATGTTCATGACTTTCCAGTCAGAACCAACACCACTCTTGGTCCTGGCATTCTGTGCAATGCTGGAAACTGCAGCATGGATTGCAGCTCCATCGCTGCGCTGAAGGGCTGTGCTACCTACCACCACCATTGGCTTTTTGGCCTGGTCGAGGACCTGTGCAAGGGAGAATCAAGAAGTGAACTCTAAGGCTCTGAAGATAATTCTTGGTGCATCTGATATAATAAATATAATAAATTCTGTACTTCCTACATAAGATTTCCAAGCAAAGCTACAGTGCCAAAATGTTATCATTTCATTTACAGATAAAGCTGAGATACTGCCACAGAATCTGCCTGTCAGCACACGCTCTACTCTTGGTTACTAGACACAGAAAGTGGCTGGAACGGCCCATGTCACATTTTCAGTTTTACAAAATAGACAGTATTGCATGCATGAATCTATTAATTAACACACAACACTGAACAGCAAATCAACACATTAAAGTATTCACACACAACAAGTGGTGCACGCTAATCACTGCCTCATCTCTGCAGTTGATTAAAAGCAAATAGTCTCCTTAAACAACAAGGTTCTTGTCACCAAATCAATCTCTGTGGGTAATGCAGATTATTATTTAATGCATCTGAACTCTAGTAGCCACATTCTTAAATTGGCTGTACCTTGGAAAATGCATGTTTTCCAGAAGCAATGTCTTGGAGTATCTGTGGTGAATCTCCCAGATGATTATACGTGTAGGTCAAATCCACAGCTGAACCAACTAGGGCCACTTGCAAGTCATTGTGAAGCCAGCTGAAAACACAGTTCACATTAAAAAAATGCAGAGTTATAGCCAACTAAAACCACTAACAGTTTTAGCAATAACTAGAAATAGGATGCAATTTCTTTCAAAGCAGTTTAAGTGACAGCTTCTATTTTGGTAACAGATAATTTAGTATCATTTTGACTGCTGAGCAATTTTTTTTTCTTTCCAGAAAAGTTCTCCGTGTATATTCTGATGCTACCAGCTATCTGACATGAGAACTTCCTAACTCAATCCCCTCCTTCCTCTCTCCTTCAATGGAAGGAAAAAAAAATGCACTAGATGAGGTACTACAACTGTTAAAATACCTTTTTTCCAGAGTTAAGCAGAGAACAAAAAGGACAATAGCTACTATTAAGTCTATTCCTTTACTTGATCTAACTTGGTTATTTCAAGCTGAATTTAAAGTCATTTGTAGGAAATCACTTATTTCTTTAATAGAAGGAAAACTACCTGGTTAGGAACTCTGCATTTTTTACTGCTTCTCATTGCGCAGACGTAAAAGACACATACCTCTCAAGTTCAAAATGCTATTTGCTTGCTTAATTTTAAGTTTTTTCTAAAGATTATTTGTAAAGGTTCCAGAATAGTAAGTAGGCAAGGTTGGTGATTTGAATTACTGTTAAGTCAGTATTGTTACCAGGCCAATATGAAAAACAGCTCTGTACAACCTGATGAGTAGTATTATTCTCTAAAGAACATTCTTTAGAAAACTTGAAGACCGGAAAATCTGAGGAGTCTTTGTAATTTCAGAGGACTAAATGACTGAGTGCAGGAATTTATGTAAAATGTCACAGCAGGAGCAAGCAAAACCTAACTACACACTTCAGGGAAGTCTCCCTGTCTATACATATATCACCACTCCTTTATTAAAAGGTGAAGAAAAATCTAGGGAGCCTTGTTTGCATGACAATGCTCTCACTGCCTGCGGCTTTGCCTGAAGCACTGTAACAAGCACGGATGCATTTTCATGCCTATTCACCAAGGATACAAACCTCTTTCGAATTCTAGCATTAAAAAGTGGTGCCTCAAAACGTGGATTGGTGCCAACTAGAAGCAGGACATCAGCCTCCTCCACTCCAGCAATCTTGGTGTTAAGCAGATAGTTAGAGCGCAAATCTGTGCTATAAAGGAGGGAAGAAGTTTAAAATTCAGTAAAGGGAAAGTATGAAAACGTGAAGTAAAGTTTCTAGGCATCCAAAATATCTTTTCCTTTCCTGGAAGAAAAACAGGAGGGAAAGATTTCCCTGCCCAAATTACTAATCAAAATAAAGCGTGAGACACCCTCCCCTCACCTTTCATGAGTATCAATGACAACAAATATTAAAGAAATTACAGTGTACTTCTTCCATTTACATATATTCTAAAAGCCTTCACAGACATCTGCTATTACCACAGTTTACAAGATGATTGTATTGTCCAGTAGTTTTCACAACTCTGCTCACAATCAAATATTCCCTATGAATGACTACAGTAATTCTAATGAAACCCATAGTTATTATCCTTGATTTCAGAATCCTTTAAGATGTTTCATAGTTTATTAATAACTTATTAAATGTTTATTACAGATAATTCTCACCCAGCACCAGCAGTAGGGAATATCTCTTCAGTGCAGAGCATATCAGAATTTAGTCTGTTCAGCAAGTCCTTCAAGGCTATCAGTGCTTCTGCATCTACCAGTCCTCCTGCAATTGCTGCTATATCTTTGCCTTCGACTGCCTGCAGCTATAAAGAGAAAAAACATCAACACCAGCAAAAGACCTAACCAATCTGACCAGCAGTATCTCATTTCTGCAAGGCAGCAGCTGCAGCATAAGCAGAATTGGCAAAGCCCAACTTTTAGTGTATCCAAGTCTTTCCCACTTACGTTTTTGCTCAAATGTGCCCAATTTTTATTTGGTGTGGGAAAGATGGGAAGACCAGTTAATGTTTTCCTTTCAGTGAAGTTATTGCGCAGCCAGAAAAACTTTCATAATCCAAGTTCAGTTTGCTACCTGAGTTTGTATGTAATGTTTGAGGAAATAGTAATAGCTTTTCTAACAAACCCTGCTACCCTGTATACCACAGGATAAAAAAGAACATGAATATCTTTAAGGAAAATTCAATTACAGTTACTCAATTCTACCTCCTCGTAGGAAATTTTTAATCAAAACCCAGAAAGCTGATGACTCTGTGATAGGAGAGTCTAAATAAATTTAAAGTCTTCCAATTAATTGAAAAAAGTGGCTACCTTTTGAATGTTGGAAAAAGCAGCTCGGTTTCCTATTGAAATAAAAACATTTTTTTCTCCCATTGCTCCATTTATTCATTGCCTACATATTCTTGAAGTCATCATAAAACAAAGTTCTTCAATTAGGATAATCCATGAACTAGGAAATTCACATTTTGCATTCAAAAGATAGGAGAATTAAAGGGAAACAACAGACTACAAGTCAAATTCTTCCCTGTAATCCTAAAGGAGGAAAAAAGCTTTTCCATAGCTCCTTTTGTATTATTATAATACTAAGCCCAGCTTTACAAGTTAATTTTATGCTACATATATTGAAAATTATTCTTACCACACCAGCAACACGAGTTAATACATCCTCCCATGAGGCATAAACCAACAGCCCTTTCTCATTTTTGACCATTGGCTGCGTAAGCCTCTGCCGCTTCAGACCATCATAGGCAAACCTGAATGAACATTAACAAAATTAATTGTGTATAGCAAATACTTCATAAAATGGGGCTTTTCTAACAGTTTGCAAGATTAAAGAATCGTGACAAACATTTCCACTGAAAGCCTAACTTTTCCTCTCAAAACTAAACAAAAGCATAACAGTTCCTGTAATAAAAAAATCTATAAAAAGATATTAGCAAATGTTTAACTACAATTTTAGTATTAAAAGTATATTTTACTAACTACTCTTCACCATTTCTTAATAGTAGAATCCAAAAGGTCACTAATACTGTCAACGCTTCAGATACTGTGGAGTTTATCCAACATGAGCATGTGCACAAACAGAAAACACACTGGCATGGGAACAACCCACACGCACCTTGTTTTGTCAGATATCCATTCCTCGTTGATATCCTCGTGCAGCCTTGGCAAAATTCTCATCACTTCTCCAGTCCTTGTGCTCACCACAATGTTGCTGCCAACTGCATCAAGAACATCAATGGATTCTACCTTCCTGTTTGGGAGAAAGAAATGCATCATTTACAAGCTTCTGTGTGCAAGTACACAAGCATTAGACTGTATAACAAGCAATAAAAGGTTTAGATATACAAAGCACTTGGTTTACAAAACATTTAAAATACCTTTGCCAATTACTGTGTTGCTGAATTTGACTTCCTTCAGACAAACTTTACTTCAGTAACAGAATTTGAATTAGATTCGATCTATAGAAGGGTATATAACAAAATGCAGAAGAAAAAGAAAACTCGATATCATCTTGCACATGCAAGAAAAAATTACACCCTTGATATGAGCTGAGGCAAATACCTTGTCTCCCACGGACGTGCAGTAAAGGCATACGGCTTGGAGGTAAGAGCCCCAACTGGACAGATGTCAATAATATTTCCTGATAATTCAGACATGAACATTTTTTCGACATAAGTACCAACTTGCATATCATTTCCTCTTCCAGTTGTTCCCAAGTCATCTACCCCTGCAATTTCACTAGCAAACCTGGTAGATGCAAAGAGAATGAAAAACAAATATGATGTGTGCAAGAGCAATACAGCATGTTTTTCAACTCTTATCTCATTTTCTTACAGTAAAATACTGGCATCAGTTCATACACCTACAAGAGGGCGATTTACGAACGTTGGCACATCCCATCGTGAACAGAAATACCCATTTGCAGAATTTCATTAAAGTGAGACTGCAAAAGTTTTCCTAATTATTAAAATCGATAAAGACCAGTTCACTGGGTCAATGAATTTCAGAATAGGAGTCCAGAATTATCTATAACTAAAAATGTCTTTCTAGAACTAGGGAGATGCATTGTATTCTTTCCCATTTAGCTGGTGCAGAATCTCAGGACTACGTAAGAACATAAAGATGACTACAAGAGTCTGCAAAGAATAAATAAATTTTGGCAATATCACTGAAGTCATTTGATGGTTTAAAACATATTCTGTCAATTAAAAAAAATGGGTCTAGTTCTGGTCTTGGAAAATTCTGACTTCACTTCCGTGTTCTGGGGCCATCTCTTTCCTATATGACAGCTAGCTCTTGGTACCTACCAGAAATAAAACTACGTATAAGTCAAAGAAATGTTTACTGCCCCAGTGGTATTTCTTTCACATGGAATGAGTAACAAAATGCTATAAACATTCCCGTTTGATACCCTCTGCAATGAAAAATAAAGGACATTACCTGATACATCGAGTGCACTGTATACACCGAGTCATGATTGTTTTGACTAATGGGCCAATGTTCTTGTCCTCAACCGCACGTTTTCCCTCTCTAAATCTACTCCTATCACTGCCAAACATCATTGACTGATCCTAGAATAGACAACAAAAAAATACATATATATCCAGGTTGCTTGAAAGCACAGCTTTGCCTAAGACAAGCAAGATCTTAGGCAACTTACTACATAAACCTACATAATTTAATTGGATGCTGTACCTGTAGGTCGCATTCTCCACCCTGGTCACAGATAGGACAGTCCAGTGGGTGATTTGCCAGCAAGAATTCCATCACACCCTCCCTGGGGGGTTCAAGAATTACAGTTAATAGCAACTTTTTGCCCTTTAACAAGTAGACAGGTACAACCAAGCAGCTGTAAGAAGCTTAAAAATAATAAACACAAAAATAGAGTACCTTGCTTTCCTAGATTTCTCAGAATTTGTCAGTATATTCCAACCCTTCATAACCGGCATGGCACAAGCAGCCACTGGCTATAATAATCATAACAAGAAAATATACATATGAATATAACATATCTCTTTTCAATAAGAACAATCCATTCCCCCCTGCCAAATCCTTACAGAAGTATCTCTTACTAACACTTTGCAGGAATAAGAAGGCATTGGTCCAATTATTTTTTACAAGACTTCAACTAAGCTCTACACGCAGCAGAAAATCCTAATTCCTATAATATTCGTGCAATACCTTGGGAGCTTTCTCTATTTCCACTAGGCACATCCTACAGTTTCCAGCAACAGAAAGACGATCATGGTAACAAAAACGGGGTATCTGAATTCCAGCCTTTTCACAGGCCTATAAAGAAGAAACAAAGGAAAATTAAATTGGAGTTAGATTCTTCAGCTCCCCCTTGCAAATAGAATTCAGGGATGATGCAGAAGTTGTGATCAAAGACATGTAAGATTATGAATTGCAAATACAATGTCTCTTCCACAATGCATACTTTATTGGGAAAATTGAAATTGCCTTCTCTTTTATTCTTTCCTTCCTCCAAGGAGAGAGAATTATTTTCATTGGTGAAAAAAAAGGCATCCTTTAAAATGCTTAGGGAACAACAACATGCATATTTTCAGATGATTTAACAACACTGATCATCCTTAGGAGCACACTGGACTTTTTGAATACTGGAGCACAGCTATTCTTCAGATTCACTACTACCTCAAAGCCTCTGAAACTCTTCTACACTGTATCAGGAGAAGAGACAGGAGGACAACAGATCTCTACAGAACAGATAAAGGGGGCACTTTCTTATAGTAAATCCCCATGTCACAGAGAAGATACAGTATTATGCTAGAGAACAAAAGCTGCCACAATACTACTAATTTCAAAACACAAGCATGTGCCATCACTCAGAAATCAGCAACACACACTTGGATTGAGGGAGCCACCAGGATCTAATTAATTAGAACGTTACTATCTATAATATATACTCCTTTTGAAATATAATCTTGGCTTTTTCTATAGAAAGTTACTGATTTGTTTAGCCATCAGGACTCTCTAGGAGTCTAGTATATTGTATTTCTTAAATGCTTTTTTAAATTTATTTACTTGTTGCTTACACATGTAAATTTTTGTAGAAATCATGAGAAAAAAAGGGTCCTTCCTTCCTCCCCCTTCAGTTAATGGCTGCTGAGAAAAAGGGTAGACTAGAAAAAGAGTGACTTAATATTTGGTCTGAAAAGCTGTAATGATGATTGTGGGCCAGGAAAACCTCCTGGTCCCATCACTCCCCACACAGAGACAAAACCACTGCAGGAGCATCATCCTGAGCCACAACCACAAATAACTTGGGGAACATCCTCTGCTTGCCTGAAACACCATTCCAATAAATAAGATGCAAGAATTAACAAGGCTACCAGCTTAGCTTATGTCAAGACAAAACAGACAGCTGTTACAGTTCTCACAGGTTGAGCAGAACTCAGAAAGGACATGGTGATCTTGAGCAGCTAGAACTGCAAACAGGATTTATGCAAGTCTTACGGCATTGCAGAAGTTTTTGCAGATTGGATTGTGTGCTCTTAAGCAACGAGCTCCCTAAATAATTCTGCCACATAGAACTACTTTACAGACAGTGAAGGCACCTCCACAGGCTTGCAAGAAAATGCAAAACTTTTGGTCTTCACACAGCAGGCGACACAGTAGGCTGCAAAGCAAGAGGAGAGACAGGAGGTGAAGGCAGCGCCCTGCCCTGCCGCTCACCTGCAGCACGGTGGTTCCCGGGTTCACCAGCACGGGACTGCCATCCACAAACACCTCTATCTGGCCGCTGGCCGCGGTGGCCGCTGTGCGCCCTGCGACGCGGAAGAACAGCAAGACGCCTTTCAGCGACGGCTCCACGCAGAGAGCTGCCCGCCACCGAGGCCTGTGGCGCCCCGGAGGGCACGCGAGCGGCCCGGAGCCGCGCTGCTGCGCGGCCGCCTTCTTACCGCACACCGGCGAGCGCGGGCCGAGGGCCAGGGCCCTGCGCACGGCGGGCAGCCGCAGCATGGTGCCGACGCCTGGCGGGAGACGAGGCGGAGACGCGGTTGCGGCGCCGCAGACGCGCGCAACGCGGAGAACTTCCCAACGGTCGCGCAACCGACGAGCGCCGCGCCGCTCAACGGTTTGCGGCCGCTGCCGGGCCCTCGCACGGGGTCACCTTGGAGGCGCCGCTGCGGCCCGCGGGGCCCCGCGAGGGCAGCGGTGCCGGTGCCGCCTCCCGCGCCGCGCAGGGGGGCCGCGGCCCTCCCGCCTCCGCGCGCGGCGGCCGCCGTTACCTGCGCGCGCGGGCCTGGGGGGCTTCACCCACCGCAGCCTCTATGGCGGCGCGCTCGGCTCTTTCCGCCGCCCTCTTCGGCAATCTCCGGAGCCGGCGGAGCGAGCGGCCCGTGGGAGCGGGTGGCTTCGGGTGTTTCCGCCAAGCGGCGAAGGGCCAGCGGAGCAGCTCGGCAGTTTCCGCCGCGCCACCCTCGGCAACTTCCGCCTCTTCCCGCCGCCGGCCTCGGCCATCTTCGGCAGTTTCCGATGATGCCCGGAACTCATTAGGTGGGAATAGGCCACGTTGAAATAGTTACCGAACTAATGCATCTAAAACTATTTACATTTCCAGCACTAAAGCCTCCTCTACTGTCCCAACCTTCCTCTACACTTCTAAAACCATGTAGCTCCCATGGCATGTGCGGGGCGGCTTAAAAATCCCCGGGAACTATTTCGTGCCTCCCCCTTGCGGATGGACACATTGCGCGCGCGTGCGCACTGTGTGCGGAGGAATACCGTGGCGCTATATAAAGGCGGCGCGCGGAAGCCTGAGCCTTTTTCCGCAGCGGAGAGTGTTAGTGTGCACACATCGCTCTGCTGCCGCCATGGGGTTCGGGGACCTCAAGTCCGCTGCTGGTCTGCAGGTGCTCAACGACTTCCTGGCAGATAGGAGCTACATCGAGGGGTGAGCGGCGGCGGTAGGGAGCGGAGTGGGCCCATGTGGTAGGGGCGAGCGGCCGCTGAGGCCTGAGGCGCCACGCGGCTTCTCGCACTTTCCACGGCGGCCGCGGTAACTCGGGCCCTCTCCGCAGGTACGTGCCCTCGCAGGCCGACATCGCCGTGTTCGAGGCCCTCGCCGCCCCCCCGCCCGCAGACCTGTGCCACGCGCTCCGCTGGTACAACCACATCAAGTCCTACGAGAAGCAGAAGGCCAGGTACGGCTGGAGGCGAGCACGGGTGTGGGCTTGGTCGGGTCTGAAACGTTGTGTTTCTTTTTCCAACTTAAATGAAACTTTCCTGGTAGTTGCACAGCTGGCACCTGAGAGTGTTTAATGTTAGACTAGGAACAGGCGTGTGAGCGAGCAGGGCTTGCTCCACTTGTGTGGTTGCTGCCTTCACTTCTCCTTGCTTGGTTTTTAGAGAAGTTGTTTCTGACTCTGTTCAGCTGCTAGGACTGGTGCGCGAGCTACTGAAAACAGCTGAGTTTTGCTGCTGCCTTTTTATGTGGGTAGCTTTGCTGAGAGCTGGAAATCACCCGCATAAAGGCAACACCAAAATGGGCCAGGGACTGTTAGAGCAGACTTCAAAAATGGCCATAAAGTGTTTCGGTGGGTAAAGAAAGTGGTTCATTTAAGCTTTTAGTCTGAAGGCAAAATGAAAATCAATGACTTAAAATGCAGAAACACCTTCAAAGAGAGGAAAGTCTGAAAGCAAATGTTATCTTTTTTCTTTTTTAGTGGTTTTAGTGTTCATGAAAAGTGCTGTTTTGACATCCATGGAGACTGCAGGCCTCTCTAAAAAGGTACAGCCTAGGTAGTGTCAGTATTGCTGCACTGCCTCCTCTACATGCCTCAGTCCTGTTTTGGAGGGAACTCTTGTAAAATTGAGTGGCTTAGTCACTTGTCTGATGCTGGAACTCTTGTATCCTAAATGGGACTGAGATTTTAAAGTTTTTTTCACAAATTCCACTCTGGAAAATACTACAAGTTGCTATAAACCAAAGCTAGTTTTATTATTCTTGTAACAGCAGTTCATGGTCACAGTAGAGCTAGAGTAAGTTAGAGGGGAAGAGCATTTCAGACATAAATATTTGTCAAAAGATGTGACTGAGAAGCTGGTAACTCTGCCTACACAGTCTATTTTACAGATGAGCAATTCTACTGAGAAAGGTCCTTTCCTCACACTTGTGTAGCATGGTGGTGTTAGGCAGGATCATCTCTGCATTGAGGAGTAGTAGCCTTTGCATATAGGACTTGTAATTCTCTGAGGATGGTGTTAGGAGTGTGGAGTGGTGTTTGTTAAGGAACTTATCTTTTCAAGTGGCAGAATGGGGAGGGTTTTTTTTACAGAAAAATCACCTTTGTGATTTGTTTACTGTAAGTTCATTGAGAAATTGTCAGTATCTGAGATGATTTGAGCATGTCCCTAATATCTGCTGTTTTTTAGCTTGCCAGGTGTAAAGAAGGCCCTGGGGAAATATGGTCCTGCTGATGTTGAAGACACAACAGGGGCAGCCACAGACAGCAAAGATGATGATGACATTGATCTGTTTGGATCTGATGATGAGGAGGTACTGATGCCTGGGAGGGTCTTGTTTCTTCACAGATGTGTTTTTTGTGTTCTAATTTTTGAAATAAAACTTGGGAAAGTTAAAGACTGGATAGGAAGGAATATATCACAATGCAATATTGTCTTTGACTGGTTACATGATGAATAAAACAAAAAATCACCATCTTTCGGCTGACAGTTGTGATGATTTGTTTTTGCCTGACCAGATGCCAGTCAATTTTATAGTGCTTTGAAGAGGTGGGTGTTTGGTGCTTTCCTTTGACTTTGGCTTTCTCTTTCAGGAAAGTGAGGAAGCAAAGAAACTGAGGGAAGAGCGCCTGGCCCAGTATGAGTCTAAGAAGTCCAAAAGTATGTCTGCTAAGAACTTTGTTGCTTTATGTTTGAACAGGATGGCTAGAGAACAGACTTGTTACCTGTAATACATAAAACTTTACTTGACTGAAATTGGCAGAAGTAATTAGCTTCAATTTTTTACACCAAGAGGCCAAGCCTTGCCTATGAAGAGATGATTCTGAGATTTTTTTAAAGCAAAACACATGTAAAGCTGGTATAAAATGCATCTGTGGTAGAGTTTCTACCTTTTGCTTGCAAGAAGGCTGGTCACAAGTTCAGGATGAAAGCCGAGACTCCACAGCTACTGGTCTGGAACTGCTCTGTGGAACTGTAGCAGTTGCAGGATTCCGTCTGTGGAAGATAAAATGTTACCTAGTACTGAACTCTCCAGATACCTGTTCTGGGGAGGACTTTCTGTGTAACTAACAGTGTCAGCTTCTTGAAATATGTTCTCATGAACAGTTTCTAGGAACATGAGTATTTAAATAATGCCTTAAAAGTGTAAATATATTTCTATGAGTTGATTTTTTAATTCTTGACAGCTTACAGTGCTTTTCTTCCATTTTCCTCTAGAACCAGCTGTTGTTGCAAAATCATCAATCTTGCTTGATGTGAAGCCTTGGGATGATGAGACAGACATGGCCAAATTAGAGGAGTGTGTTCGAAGCATTCAAGTAGATGGCTTGGTCTGGGGATCATGTAAGTAGGAGAAAATATCAAAGCAGGGACGGGGATGTATGTGGCAATCTGTACACTGTTAAAGAGACTTCACAAACTGAGGTGTTTTTCTTTCTTTTTTTCAGCCAAGCTAGTACCAGTTGGCTATGGTATCAAAAAGCTTCAGATTCAGTGCGTTGTTGAAGATGACAAAGTTGGAACAGATATGCTGGAAGAAAGAATAACAGCTTTTGAAGATTATGTACAATCAATGGATGTAGCTGCTTTCAATAAAATTTAAATCTTGCTATATCTGGAATAAATGTAATGGCAAAAATAGAGCTACGTCTCTGGCTAATGCACAATTAGGTGGACCTCTTAATGTCAAACTTGGGCTACAAAGATGAAAAGTGAGTTTTGAGAATTTTTCAGTAACTTATCCACTGTAGTACCAAAGGTGTGATCAAAGAAACCACTCATACAGCTTTTAAAAGCTGAAATGCCCTTTGCTCCATGGAAGTGTCATTTTTAGGATATTTTTTTACACTTTGGAAAGAGGAGTGGTTTTAAAGGAGGAAGCACAGGGCAAGTACAGGTAACTTGTAGTTGCTATATAGGAGTTAATACTTTTGTTTACGGATGGTGATCAAATGTTTACTGTGTCACCTGTTGAAAACTACATTTTTTGTTACCTTCACTGAATATGAAGAAAGCCAAGTTAAAGGTAGTAGGGAGGGCTGTAGTGTGCTTACAGAAAAAGTCCAGGTAAGATGTGAAGTTGCAGCCCATAAGGTTGCTGTGGGAGTGGTAAGTGGACCTTTCTCAGGGCTTCCTCACCCCAACAAGTTGTGATGGTGGGAGGGTGGTTAATTAAATCTTCCTGTGCTGAACTTCAATAGAGCTTTTGTAGTAACTGCTCCTCTTTCAAGGTTTTGGTGCATCTCTTACCTCAAAGCACAAGGAAACACTGCCTGTCCCTAGAGCAGACTTGTCCTACTTAAAAGATGCTTTTTAACTTAAAGACCACTAGGGAGCAGCCTATGTCTTCCACAGAGCATGTTTTTTAGGAGCTAATTGTTAGCACCTCTGGTCTTCAAGTGCAATGGAAAGGTAAGGGTGTGTACAACAGTTGCCCTAGTTCAGCTCATATAAAAACCTGCTTTTAATGACTGAAGAACCCCACAAGACTGAACTCATTTTTGAAAATGAATGCTGAATAATCCCCAGGGGTTTAGAGTGAATTTGTAGAGCTTCCAGATATGCACATTTTTAGGCCCTTGCCATGTGGAGCTAGAGAGCTGCTGTGACTGAAAGGGCGGCTTGTGCTGAGCCACGTTGGCCATTGGCACAGAGGTGCAAGGAGCTGGATAGCTGCACTCTGTCCTGATCCCTGTTCTGGCCTTTGCTGAGCCACTGCATGTGCTATCTAGTACAGCAGGTCCTGTTTCTCTCTGTCTAAAGGTCTGCCAGCTTCAGGTTATGTAAAGACTTTGTTTTGTAATTTATTTTAAGAAAAAAACCTCAAAACCTGCCTGCTAGAGGTTTAAAGCAAGATTAAAGAACTGAAAGGGTAATTAGGGGCTCTATCCCTACATTCCACAAGTTCTTAACTAAGAGACTAGCTTTGTCTTGCACACAATTATCTTAATGCAGCCTCCTTTGTTTTATAGTTGTTGCTTCTACTAATTGTATAACTTGTTTTTAGTGATTCTCACATGCTGCTAATCTTTTTTTTATAATCATGCTATAGCTATATGTGTTTTCCTTGGCTATCACCCTTTATGATATTCCAGTCAAAGTACTTACTCAGACTTTTAACCTCTTTGACCTTGAAGTTAAAGCTCTAGGTAGCTTTAATGTTTTGATTTACAGGCTGTGGCTAAGTACAGCATTGTGTGAGGCATGCACCTGACCTGCCCAAACTGGATTTTATTTTTGTATGTTGTTTGTTTATGCTCAGCACGCATGTACAAAATCTCTAGCATTCCTTCTCTTGAAGACAGAAGAAAACCTGCTGCACGGGAAAATACATAAAAAGGTACAGAGTACATTCTGCTCAGTTGCAGAATAGACAGATGTGCATGGGATTCTTGCAGAAATGATGCAGAGATGACTGGAGCTGATCTTTGCGAATAAGTTTAGTTACTTTGCAAAACAGTTGATCTCTTTCTTCCACAGAACAGAATGCATTTTGTCCTTCTTGAATTATGAAATTCTATTCTGTACCTGGTTTGTATCTATTTTAGGCTTTAGCTCAAGGTATTTGGTTAGGTGCTGGCACTCTAGAGCTTTTTGAAGTACTGATTCTAGGAAAGCATTCAGGAAACATCTGCTGATTCATACAGGACAGAGCGCACATTTCAAAATCAAGTTCTTTATGTATCAATATTCACACTCATGTAGCTGCCATACAGGGTGAAAACTGAAATAAATCTTAATTCCTGAAACCGAAAAAAAAGACAGAGTTCCCTTCATCTTGCAAAGTCTTTTGCAAAGGAATTTCTAAGATTATAGACAGACACCCCACGCTGCTGATGATGAAAACAAATGAACACATTCTCCAGAGACAAAAACATTTTATTACTCCACTTGGAGTATCGTCAGGAGCACAGAAGTAACACATCGTTCTGAGAGAGGTATCAGAGGATATGTGAAGAAGAAATGTGGAATGTTTCATTTAAGGCATATTCAGTAGCATAGTGCCAAAAAATCCTGAGTCACTCTGTACCAGGCACTGAATGACTCAGAGGAAAGAGTGCTGCCTACCAACTTTCCAGTCCAAAGTTAAACACTGAACTTCACTGATCCTGCCTTAACTCTCCCAACTTTCAAACCAGAGCCCAAAGAAATATAGTTACCGACCACAGTCAGACTGTTTCTGTTTGTACAATCACCACTCTACGGATGCACGTGTGTGTATATATAAATATTTGCTTTTGTAATGAAATGTATTTACACATAAGTAATATTTATATTGGAAATAAGGCCTTATATGGGTTGCCAGGCCCTAGAAACAAGGTGGACAGGTCATCTGAAAGGCAGTTTTCTTCCACTCTTCATGGCCAAAACCAAGGAAATGTTGGTCAAATTTAGTTTTGTGCTCCTACTTTTAATGACCTTTTATTTCACATTAACTTAATTCAGTGGTTTTGCCTCAGATACTGATTCACTCCTCTTAGCACATATAGACAGATGTGTGATTCTACAGCAAGCAACAAGTTGGAGTGGAAGTAACTTCGTTGGGACCGTTGTGCCTCTCCTAGTGGAGTGTTCTTTCCCAGCTACATTGTCCTGCCTCTAAGTTTGGCAAAGAAGTCCAAATTTGGCTGCATGTTTTTAACAGAACTGTTGAATTCACTTCTGCGTGAAGTAGGTGTCCATTTTTGAAAGCTTGTACTCAGGTGAACAAAATATTAAATTACTTAACATTTTTACTGCTCTCACCAAGAAAAAAAAAAGAAACAATTGGTTGTCATGAACATCTTTAAACCTGAAGCCTAGAGAAAGTGTGTGTGTGCGTGTGTGTGTGTGTTTAGGGAACCTTTAATCTCAGCTTCTCAAAAAGTTTTCTACTAATTTTGCTCACATTTCAAAGGAGTCAAATATTTATGTGAAACCTCCTTAATATTGTACACCCAACTAGTAATGAGAACATAAAAATAAAAACACAAGAAGGGGAAGCTGACCAACAATCTCAGTGATTCCCATCTTATCTAGTTGAGGGTGAGGCAAAGAGCAATGGTAGAAACGAGGATCATTCTTTTTTAACAAGAAAAGGGAACAATTCTGTGTTCTCTATATTGGGATCCTTCTCTGAGTGGAAAGAGAAGCCGTTAACTGCTTTGCGTAGCTGGGATGCAGCCAGGATTTTCTTTCTCTAAGCAGTGCTAGATGCTCAGGACTGTCATAACCCACTGACATATGGCCAAGATGGGATGAGGATGCCCAGATGTAGAGCATTGCCAGTGACGGCAAGAAGAAATACTATTAGTTGAGAATGTTTTTTTCTTTTTTCTTTTTTATATATATATATATATATATATATCATTAAGGTATGGAACTGCAACAAGAAAAAAAAAAACAGGATTAATAACAGAAATATTCACATTCCTGTTCGAAAGCTCAATTAGAGCTGCTCCAGCTATGTTGTCAGCTTTCGGCTCAGGCTCTTTGCAACCACACCACACCCAAATGATGTGTCCTGTAAAAGCCTTCCAAGGAAAGCAGCACGCGCAATTCAGCCAGCTGTTTACATAAAGCCATGCATGCAAAGATGCACATCTGATGGCGGCTGCGAAGACAAGAACATCTCCAGGTCTCCTGCCAGCTCCTTTGGGCAGGGACGGTGTCGAGCGCGCTCACTGCGCAGTTTCACAGCAGTGCGCGGGCGCGTTGGTGTTGTCCGAGCTCCACAGCTGCTCGCTGACCGTCCCCGAGCGGCTCACTTCCCACAGCGCCAATTTGAGCACTTCAGAGACAGTTGTCTTGACTTGGGCCTGGAACTTCTTGCTAATCAGAACATAGAGGATTGGGTTAAGGCAACTGTTGATGAAAGCAAGGCCAGTGGAGAGGGGGATGCCATCCTGCAATAAGCCATGCAAGTTTTCATTATGGTGAGCTGAGAGCTCCACGATGCTGAATATGTGATACGGTGTCCAGCAAACAAAGAAAGCCACGACTACCGCAATGATGGTCCAGAAAAGCCTGCTGGAAGTCAGGACAGTTCTCCTCTTCACCTTGACAATCAGCAGCGAGTAGCAGATGACCATGGTGACAAGGGGAAAGAGGTAACCAAATGCAAGTCTCACCCAGATGAGAATGTGGTGTCTCAACAGAATGAGGTCTCTGTCGTGCACGTGAAAGTTGTTGTAACAAAGGGTGATGTTGTTGAGAATTGTAGTTGTATCTCTAAAGTATAAGGCAGGGCCACCAATAATTGCAGCTGAGATCCAAATGATCCCGCTAAGAATGAGGGTGTTCCTTACAGTCCGATACTTGTAGGAAAAGACTGGATGGACTAGGCGGATGTAGCGGTCAAGGCTGATGAATGTCAGGAAGAAAACGCTGGCAAACATATTAAGTAGTGCAATGAATGAGTTCATTTTGCAGAGCCACTTCCCAAAAGGCCAGTGGAAGCCCATTGCCACGTAGGTAATGTAAAGAGGCAAGAAGAGAACAAAGATGAAATCTGCGATGGCCAGATTGAGGAACCAGAGCGTAGAGACAGATTTATCCCACTTAAAGCCCATAAACCAGATGACGATGGCATTACCTGGCACTCCCAGCAGAAATGCCACGCTGTAAAAGGAAAGGGAAATCATATGGGCAATGCTGAGGGAGGACTGCGGTGATTCATCTTCCTCAGACAGGTCATAGATATAAGAGTAATTCTCAAAGTCTTCAAATTCCATGATGCACAATTGCTTTCTGGGGAGGGAAAGAAACAGAACTGTCAAAGCAGGACTGTTTTACTGCACTGCAAATAGTAACCTCTAATTCTTTTGAGCTTTTCATCATAAAATAAATACATTGATTAGGTTTCACATGTCTATCACTTTTTAGCTGTCAGTTATTAGTACAAAGCTTATAAAGTATTTTAGGTTGCAAATATTTCAAGTAATACTAAGATCAAGAGAAACAACACTTGAAATCATCAAGAACTGTTTTCCATGCATTTATTTCTTAGCCGAGGGCACTGAGCACAATATTATTGATAAATATCTGTGAGATTCCCCATCTGCAAGGTTTTACTGAAGTATTGACTGTATTCTTTTCTCCTTAACTTTGGGATTTTACTGCTCTGCTCCTGTTTGAAGCAACTTTCATGGAACATACCTGTAACAAATCAAAGCAGAACTGAGCATTTGGGCAAAAAGTGCTTGTTTTGGGGTAGACACTCAGCACTTAAGTTTTAAAAATACCTTCCTCATAGGTGCTCTGTGGGCTAGAGACCCATTTCAAGAAATTAGGAAATTAGGTCTTAAATACTGAGACTGCAAACAAAGAAACCGGACAAATGTAAGCCTCATCAACAAGAAAAACTGCCCACGAATATGGGCTGGCCTGCCAGAAAATGACATAATGAATAAAATGCCACATGTTACTGTCTGGAAATAGTAGATCTGATTTCTAAAAGAAATTTACATTCTTTACAAATTAATGCAGAAAAATTAATATTGTAGGGTTTGAAGTTTCTTTTTATGAGGCAGAATTCACAACTGTAACAAAAAGAACAATGAAAACTCAGTACTATAAATTGTTAATATTTTCTCTTCTGCCACAGAAAAACAAAGCATCTGAAACAGCAGAGCCTAAGAAAGTTTATTACACACCAATATGTTAAAAAGTATAAATCAAAATGCTTGATTTATAAGTTAACCTGTCTAGACTCTGAATTCTGTCAAAGCTGAATCACTACCAATTCTCTTCAAATTTTAATGAGAAAAGATGATGAATTAAAGCACGGAACATGGATCTTCCAGCTAAGATAATATTCGAACACAGGAAATGTTAGTTCTGCTACAAATTTCACAGCATAAAATATAGACTATTTTAAGAACTGCATTAGTTCCTGAGGGAGTAAGGTACTTTGATTATATTATCATCTTTTTTGACATTAATTTGCTAGTGAATTTATTTCTCATTTGATAAGGAAATAACGTATAGAATCATAAACTTGCCCTGCATCTTTTGGAACTGCCTTTTTTTTTTTTTTTTTAAGTTTTTGCAGTAGTGAATAATTAGTTTGGTCTGTCAAAAGGTAAGCACATGCATACATTCATCCATCTAATAGAGACTTAAATTCAAGTTTATGTATAAATCCTACTGGATTCAGGGGGCTCAGGTTCATGCTGAAATATTTTGCTGAGCCACAATTGTAAGAACTAATTTTTAATAATGCAGAGATGAATTTTAAATTGAGATCCTGTATTTCATGCAATAATACAAATATTTTTCCTCTTTATGTTGACCACAGAAGCTCATTTAACTTTGGATAGAGGCTGAACCTGAAAAATATAATTCCAAGAATAGGGGTAGAAAAAGCATGGGAGCTGCTTCTTGCTCTTCCTTTAAGCTATAAGTAGTCAAAAGTAGTTGCCACACCACAAAAGGAGGAAATTCTGCTGCAGCAAGGGATGCCAAGGAGGAAACATACGGAGTGTATTTTAGGGGAAGGGCAAACAACTGTGGTATTATCCCACTAGTGATCTGAGAAAAAGGTAACGTGAAAGAAAATAAAGCCTCCCAGGAGAGCAACACAGACTGTAAAAGCTATAGCTGGAAATATCTTGCTGATTCAGTCACCGGAGATGCCTGACCAGCTTTTCTTTTTCTTTTTTTTTTTTTTCCTTTTTTTAAATAAAAAAAGGCACTGTCTCAGTTTTCTTCTATTGGAAAAGCTTCTTGAACTTACAACACAATTTTTCACACAGGAATTCTCTCCTAAAACTAAAAAGGAAGGGTGTGGGAGGGAGAGGAGAGGGGAAGCAGAAATGTAAGCCAAATGAAAAAGCCAGAAAGAAAGAAAAACAGAAAAACAGATAGCAAATAAAGGCTAGGCAAGAAAAAAAAAAGCACTTAGAAATTCTGCATTCTTGCTGTGGCTCAGCTAAAACTACAGCCGTGCACAGATGCACAAGGGTTTGACAAGAGCACCTAGATGGGGAGAGCAAATGTTCTGTTGAGCTTTATCACCATTTTATAGCTCTAACTTGCCGCCCTGGCAGGCTGTGACTATGAGCACAGTACGTCCAGACCAGAGCTCGCCGTGTGTGAGCCTGTCCATACATTTCTGAGAGCCTGCTCCATCACAGGGCTGAAACTCAGCATGTGCTTTTGGAGCCTTTCTCTGCATTCCTGTAATTCCATTAATTTTTGCCAACTAAAGGACTATGGGAGTGGGGTCTCAGGAGGAGGACGTCTGCAGAACCACAGCTGCAAAAAATGTGCTTATGGATGTAACTTTATTCCAAAGAGCAGTTTACTTATTTTGGAAAGTTTTGTCACAAGGGAAGTTACGCATGTGCACACATATTGGCAGGATCAGATTTCTTATCTGTAAATGAATAGAAAAGGTTAAAATAAAAAGTTGCGTAATTCTATCTCTTGATTTAAAAATATATTTTAAAAGCCAACACAGTCTGTTCTGTCAGGAGGCTGTGATAACATTTGCCCTTTCTAATTTACATCAGTCTGAAGGAATGTTATTTGGTTAGCTGTCCTAATCAAATGATACTTACTGGGCTGCATTAGATAATTACATGCCCCGTGGGGGTATATTCTGCACCAAATACCAGTACCACCCATCTGAGTCATTTTTTTTTCAAACATAACATCTGCTCAGAAATGGTATAAACAAGGAGCCATACCACTAATATGTTCAATAACACTACATTTGGACATCAAGGTTAGTAATTGGATTTGTACATGTTTTTGCCTGTACATAGAATTAGGGCATCAAACTGGATTTAAGACATTAATATATAAATGCCCTTTTTTCATACTCATGCTGATTAATATCTTAACTCCCATTGTTAATAAAGTTTGCTTTTAATTTTCTCAAGAGTTAGCACAATACAACAATATTTGGAATCACACATTTTTTCACCGTATGTGTAATCTCCAAACCTGCTTTTTCCCCCGAATAATAATAATGGTAGTAGCAAGCATGTGATAACTACCCAACCATATTCATTTTAATATTGAGAATTTCAATGATGATGTACAGCAGAAGGGAAACATAGCTAAATAAATATCAAATATGTACCAAATGCCATGTTCTCTAAAACGCCTCCATGGAGAGAGCACACCTCTACATGCATTGCATTTTGAGGAATTATTTTTCCAAGCCCAAGCGTATGTTTCTCCCTTGCCTCTCATTTCTAGTCCTGTAATGCAATAATTCTTTAGCAGTGGATAAAAAATCAAAAGCAGGAGGAAGACTGCTTACCACTGCATCCAGCACACACTAGACTCTGTGAGTAGCACTTGTTAAAATTGCCAATTACATCTGCAAAGCCCAGGAGCACCCCAGCTGACACCCACCTTTGAGGTGCTTCTATAACAGGATTCACAGCCCTGATCAAGATAAGGGACAAGGGATGCTGATTTTTACTGTCAAATATTATTCAGCAAGGACATTTATTTGTGTTTTTGAAATACACAGTCTCTAATACATTAATTTTGTTATTTATTAATAAATTTTTGAGAGGAAAAGCTGTCTTACAGTTCAAATCCAGGTCTTAAATTCTAATTTTCCAAGTTCTGTCACTGATTCCCTCTATGTGATTTTTAACAAATGGCCAATTTCCAGGCTTGGAATTCTCTTCTATGAACCTGTCTGCAAACATCAACTCAGTAGAGAAAACAGGCCTTTGGCCAGCAGTTTCCCCTCGGTTTTGAGGCCTCCTGCTAGAACCGGTAAGGGAGGCTTAGCACAGTGCACTGCCTCAGTCTAGCTGGTCTAGCGCTGCAAAAAAAAGGAGCCAGAGGGAGGAAAATATTTGTCAGTAAACAGGAAAGTGTGGTTAGAAGCCTTGCAGCAGGCACTGGGGCACCTACAGGTTACAGAACAGTGTTGTATCCCATTTGGATGAACACACCCAAGTTTACTATTCAAATAAAAAGACAGGATGAAGCCTAAACAGTCCGTATAAAGTGTATGCTGAGCACTTGTTCTCTGACTGGTGTCTCTTCCTGTTTGCTGAGGTCACAAGTACCTTGAAAAACTGACCTTCCTTAATTTAGTTGCTTAATTATGAATACAGTTGCTTGATTTTTAGCAAGCAAGTTTCAGAATGTTTAACCAGAAGGTTTCATTTCCTGCCTCCATCTGTGAAGTAGAAATTAATTACTGAATGACTTCATAGGAATATTACCCGCGGACACTCAGTTCCAGTACTAGACAAGCCTAAGGAAACACAGATTATTATATATATTTCTAGAACTGAAGGGCGTAGAACTGCTGGGAAGAGATTTTACAGTGCACCATATGCAGGGCCATTCTGAGATCCAGCAGGGAATTCCAGGATCAGGTATCAACTCAGATTCACATTTTTCGTAGCTCTCTGCTGCAAGTGGCTGGAGTTGCATTACTTTGCCACATTATAGTGGCACCCATACAGACAAGCCAGACAAATGACTGGATGCACTTGAACAGAGCAGCTTTTGTCACTCTAGAGACGGCCTCGCGCAGCAGCGGCGCTTCGGGCGCTCTCTCCCTTGGTGCCGCAGGCATCCTGTTCGACCAGGGGAAGTCGTTTGACCTCTCCATGCCTCAGTTCTGAGGTCAGTGGAACAGCTTTGGAAGGAAATACATTGGGTTTTTAGTCTAAAATAGAAGACAAACAAAGCGGTCGCAATTTCCGTTCACTTTGCATGATGCAAAGTCTTCCTCAGAATCAAAGTTCTCTCAACACTGTGCAAAT